GGCCGGTCGGTGCACAATCCGTCTGTGTATCAGCAGAAGGAGCCCTCTGAAGGGGCGCCCGTCTTGTCCGGACTCGTCCTGCCGATACGCGACGTAATTCGGGACGTTGAAAGCAACACTAGGTTTGAGAAATGTTTCGCTCACAAGTGCTATGTCTACGTCGTGCTCACGCATAAAATGCATGAGCATGCGACGTTTGCCTGTGAGCGATTGCGCATTCCAGTGCATTACTTTCAACGGCCGGAATTTTGTGCCGTAATTTGGTCAAAGCAGAGTTGGAGTTGCTCAGCCATCGTATTCACGAAGTGGGTGAGCAAAGTTTCGTGTCCAGGGATGCGTTTTTCTCACCTGGTTTGTCTGTTTGTTTTTGTTGCACGTTGGAGGTAGATTGGTTTTCGGATTTGCCGTCTCTTTCTACCTGGGAGGTGCTCTTTCCCCGTTTCTTTTTTCGGCGGCGGGTAGTGGTAGATTTTTCGGTGGCTGTAGTGGGTAGGCGGGCAATCGGTGCGTTTGCCGGGGCCATCAGCGTAGTGGCTGTTGTTTCGGCTACTTGTGGCTGCGGGATGGCTGCTTTGGTGAGTGGGCCAGAGGAAGGGCCGGACCTGGCGACAGTACTTGCCTTTTTGTTCCTTGCCTCTTTGCGTATAGTCGGGCAACTAGAGTGGTTTGCGGGGTGCGGGCCGCCGCAGTTTGCGCATGTCGCTGCTTCAGTGCGTGGGCGGGGGCAGTCTGCTGCGGCGTGTGGTTCTCCGCATCTCACGCAGGCTATGGGACGGTGGCAGCCTTTGGACGAGTGCCGGAAACCTTGGCACCTATGGCACTGGGAGGGGCCCTTTTTGCCGCGCCAGGCCTCAATGGTGATACCCGGCATGCATAAAAGCTCCTTCAGTGCGTAGATTCTCGGCACAACATCGGTGGTTCTATTTATTGCGGCGAAAAATATGCATCCGGGGCGACCTGCCCTCGCCCGGATGCGTTTAGCGTGCTCGACGTTAAAGCCTTTAGCCGCTAGGGCTTCTTTAATTTGCTCCGGCTCGGTATTGAAAGGGAGGCCGCGGATAGCGACTTTCAAGCTCCGCTCCTCCGGGAGGGCGTACGAATACCAACTCATCCCGGGCTGTACTTTCTCTAAATTAGAGAGGTACGCCTGGATCAGCCGGTACTCGTCTCCGTCCACGGGGGAGAATCGAACTCCCGTTCCAAATGGCCGTGCGTTCGGCGGTCTCCCGAGCTGTTCGTTTAGAGCTTTAAAATGTTCGGCCCAGTCGGGTAGTTTTTCAACCACTAGGGGTGGGTACCTTTTCTCTTTTGGTGGAGCTGCAGTCGTCACAGTGGTGGTTGCAGGCGTGGGCGGCTGAGCGGGGGTGGTAGTTACCGCTTGCGAGTATGTGGGGTAGTTTGGAATTACCTGAGCACATGTGGGTATTTGCAAATCTTGTGGCGACGGGGGTATTTCTACGTCTACCTTCCTCGGTCGCGCATCGGGAGGTGGTTGTGCAGCCGGTGTTTGCGATGTCGTCATAGGGGTGGGTGGTGGCGGTGGTGGCGGTGGCGTAGCGATAGGGCTAGGCTCTGGTGTATTTACCGGCTCCGGTGTGTCACCGCTGCTCTGCGAGCGCTTGAGTCGCGGGTCGCGCGAGCGGCAGGTTCGCTTGTCGGGCGTCTCAGGCGGCGTGGCGGTGTCCCGGGATCGTTTCCGCTGCCACGGGGGGTCGGTTTTCGGCAGCTGAGGTGGAGAGCCGCTGATGGCCCGCAGCGCCTCCTTTGCCAACTGATCGGCTGGACACAAGGCCTGTGTCTGCCCCGTTTCGTATTCCAGCAACCGAGCGTAGGAGGCCAGCCAGCGATTCAGCCTGTCCGACAGGTGGCCGGTACGGATTATCCGGGAGATCATCACCACGTCAAATTCATATTTGGCTAGTGAGGATCGCCGGACGGTCCTGGCCGAATCGCTGGTGGTTCCCTCGGTCGCTGCAGCACGACTCGTGGAGGGTATTTGCCGATTTGTGGCTTGGGTAGGCGTAGCGGGCGTCACGAACGTATCATTTTTGTTCGTTGTGCGTGGTGGTGATGAGGTGTCGGGAGCTTCGACTTTGTCTGCTTCGTGCGTTGGGGTTGGGGCGGTTGGTCTGCCATTTAGCGCGACGGCTCGCGAGCGCGACGCGACAGCACAGTTGGGGATGACCCGACGCGACCCTGAGCAGCGCGCGCGGAGCGCGCTGCCCCGCTGCTATGAGTAAGGAAGGTCCCCGCCGGCCAAGGGGCCAGGCCAGGTTCATCCGTAATTATAGACACTATAATACGGGCGACACTGATTAACTTGTTCATACGGGTCCGTGCATACGAAAAGGTTCATCTGCATTCCTATTGACGCTCTAGCTGGACCTCCCATCTGTTTTATTTTATTTACAAGCACGCAACTAGCAAGGGTCTTAACGAGAAAAAGAGATAGCATTAGTAGAAAATGAAAGAGATAGCAATATTAGGCAATGGGAGGGGGAAATTAGCAGCCAATACGTCATTCGGTCACTAACTGCGCTTTGGTTAACAGCGATAACCACTAAGAAGTAAAATATGAAAACAATTTGTATCTATTTTTCGATATCATTTTAATTTAGGAAATAATGCATTTTAAAGTTTATAATATTGAAAATATATGAAAATTATGTGACTATAAATGATTAAAAACCTTTAAATGACACAAATAGTTAGAATTAAAAAATTGAAACTTCTGATGCCTATTTCGGCCAAGGCTGCAAGTGCATGCAAAAGATTTGATGGTGAAATTAATAAATATGTGTAATACAATAATTTACAAATGGTTTCATTGCTAACACTTTTAAACATTTCGAGAAAAAAAAATATTTCAGTTTTGCTCCATACATTTTTTTCTTAAATATTTTTTTTTCGCGAAAATATACGATCACATGAAAACTGCTAGAACAAAAGTTGATAAGCGTTCACTTATCTGTCCGCATGAATTTTTTCAGCGCGAAATACTAAGCCTTGGGTCCTAAGACCACTATATTCAAAATCCGGACCACTGTGCGCCGAGGCGAAACCCGACGCCTTTTTTTTTGTGACGCGTCTTTGTTTACACAATTAGCACGTGGTTGTCAGAGCTATAGTGTAAAATTAAATTGTGCGATTATGGTATTTTATGTTTTTATTTGGTAAGTTATAATAGAATGTGCAAATAACCAAAAAACCTGGACATGAAATTTTAAAATTTTAAAGATATACTCCATTTAACCCATCTGAACGCCTTTTTTTTATCTTTCCCGAGTTTACCGTAACGTAATTAAAATAGATTATAGACATGACGCATTGTATAGACACTGTTTTATAGTAAATTTTATGAAGAATCCAAATATATATAGTTTGTGTGGGGTATTCTTACGAAATAAAAGAGAAATCGGCAAAACAATGCAATCGTTCCCACCCAGCGGGGGGTTGACGGATGACGTAATCACTTTGACGTAAGACGGCGCCATGACAACTATCACCTGAGGGGTTACTGGAGTGAACACAAACTTGTATTTGTTCGATAAACAATGTTCACAAATGTTCTTACTAGTTCCTACCATATTTTTAATGAAATATATCCATTTTAAACATATTAGAAGTATAAACCGCTGCATATTTATGTCTTCATCATCATCAGCCTATTGAAGTTCCTAATGCAGGGGCACTGGCCTTTCCTATAGATAGAATAGGGTGCTAATGACTGCAGATGCAGCTGCACCAATATCTTCTCCTTCCTCCTTCCGAAGCACAGAGGAGCTTGAGATAAAAAGGTTTTGGTATTTGACAATCACATTCAGAATGTGCTAACCAGATGGTTAGGTTAGGTTAGTTAGAGTCATCTTAGCAAAGTTATTAGAAAATAAATGGTTTATAATGTAACCTTGAAATGCTAGTAATGTTATTATACTTGACTGAGTTGAATGTTTGGCAATAAAATTTTGTTTAAATTCCTAAAATGAAACTTTTAGAAAAGAATATTTGTTGTTAATTATGTTTAATTTTTTAAGCATTTAAATTGTGAATCAGCATCTAGTTGTTTAATTCTAAAGGATAGTACAAACGCAGCCCAGAGGAAGATGAACTTCTTAGCGATCCATGGATTCACCATGCGTGCTGGTGCGGGGTCCATTATGTGGGAGAGAGAGAAACTCAGAGCAGTTGCCGGGACTTGCGACCCAAGTGTAGGTTTAAGGAGGCCCCCTTTGAGATGCACATCAACACTCACCTTCACTGCTCGAGTTGTCCGCCCTTCCTAGCCAAATTTGATTGACGCCTGTTAGCGCAGCCTTAGTTACTCATTCCAAAAATTAACTTACCACAGTTCTCAACAGGCCAAGGCCTTTTAGAAGGTTATATACTTAGATTAAAACAAAAAGGGTAGATACAGTACTCTCATACTTGCATCAAACAACAACTGATCCCACGGCAGCGCGAACGGGTCGGCGAAATCCGCGTCACTGCATTACCGACCCGAACGAAACAGCACGTTAAGTTTCAACGGCAGCGCGAACGAGACGGCGAGATCCGCGTCACTGCACTACCGGTACCGACCAATCACGCGTCCAGTACTCGACGTCACTACCGAAGAACATTCAAAACAAACAGCAATTTTTATGAAAAAATACAGTTTATAGTACTTACGAATGAGAAGTGATGCCGTGGGTTTTATTTTTAATTCTTGAGCAATTTGAGCACTTTTTAAAAACACACTTAGGCATTGTTTTATCATATAAACACAAAATATTAGCAATATTTCTTTTTGGCGTTCACATGTACGTCGTTTGCATGTCAAGTTGTGACTAAAGCGATTAGGATCGTGGACCACAATTCATGCGGATCACTTTTGTGAGGCTAGTGCCGTATCTACCCTTTTTGTTTTAATCTAAGGTTATAGAGAGATCTTGTCTGCTGCTTGGACTGCATAGATTTTTTTCCAGTAAAATCATCTTTTGATATTTGTTGTTTTGTTACAGTTATGCCCTGATTCACATCTTTGTCATATTTGCTGCCATGTGCTCAACAGGCTGTGGCTATTTCGGTCAGTCTGTCTCAAGAGGAGTTTGGAGTATCCTGTACTATTTAGGTAACATAAATGAAATAAAATTACCAAAACTAAGCACTTAAGATTCGTGTTATCAGGCTTGGTCCCAATGGAGAACGGGGTCACAGGGGACATGACGTGGAAGGGGGGCCTTCCTCCCCAAGTCACACACATGCCCCAACAAAAGCAAAAATTTACGAAATAATAATAAAATTAATGTGTGTCCCTAGCCGTGATGCACTCATTGGGGTTTGCGACAAAGTTCTCTAGCCAAGTAAATTTGAAAGAGTGGTTGTGGTCATGTCTCGGTCGATTCCTGTGCCACTGATGCAATGAGGGCTACCGTTTTCTGACTCACCAGATGGCGCCACTGTTGAGTGAGGTCCTAAATTGTAACTTTTAAAGTTTATTAATACGCACATGAAATCAAAGGTTACATTTAAATCAAGCCGAATTGTTACCAATTATTCACAACATTATTTTAATTAGAAATAGTCAACCAACAAGCAATAACATTTGACATTTCGGAGACCTCACGCTACACTAGCGCCTCTAGCGGCGGATTCATACGCGATAGCCCTCATTGCATTGCGTCGTCTTCTTCTCCTGTACTGTGGGTGATTTCCGCAACTCGACACCTGGTGCCTATTTTGCGTGAGAGTATGGCTATAGTCATGCCATCCCAACTCCCCCACGAAGCTCAGTAGTCTCTTGGTGTCTCCGCAGGCCTCGAGCAGCGTATGCGGGCTGACTAGGTGTGTCATCCGTTGTCTGGTCACGCCTCTGCACTGTAGCAGGTCACGTGAGTGCTCGTCTCCTCCTCCTCCATGGAGGCTCTGCACAGAGGACTGTCCGAGATTAATTTTGCATCGCCATGCAGCTCGATGTTTTGCGGAGCGAGAGCAATCATTAACGCTGGAGTGCGTCGCCGATTTAATAAGGTCTGTCCGCAGTGCTGCCGTTTTAGCTACTTTGTGGCTAGATCTAGCCGATTCTTAAAGCTTTTAGCCAAAAAATAATCTAGTTTAGCCACCAAAACGAATCTAGCTACTTTTAGCTACTTCTGGTTCTGTCAGCTAATAAAGAATTTTTTCATCATATCTATTCGAAAAGAGCTAATTCGCTCTACGTTTACATGAACTAAATATATATAAATAGCGTTAAAAATCTTAGTTACTAAGAGTGATTGAATTATGTGGATATTGTTAGTAAAAATAAAAATTCCAATCACCGAAGAGATCAATCACGAACATTTCATTAAATCAAATTCGGATTTTATTTGGTTTCATAAATAATGAGTATGTCTTCCTCAAGTAGTGAGAATGAAAGTATTGTATTAACTCCCGAGAACGATTTATTGGACGCTAAAAATGTGACACAAAGTTTTTACCTAAATAATTCCGTTCTGTTTTAATTAAACCCACTTATTTTAACCATAATAATAATATTATATTTACCAATAGTAATAGAATATTAAAGAAGGCAAAGAATACTATGATATATAGCCACTTCTGGCAACATTTCGAACGGGTATTTTAGTTTAAAACTGGCCACTTTATTTAAAAATTAGCCACAAACCAGATTGTCGTAACGGCAACACTGTCTGTCCGCCGTGACGGAGAGCGCCCGCGAGACCTTTTGTACTCAACTTTCCCTTGCACCACCAACCGTTCCATGGTGTTCTCATTACGAGTAATATGCTCGAAGAATTTGAGGATTCGTATTTGCACAGTTGATGATAACCTCTCTTTGATGTGGAGTTCCCTCAGGATTGAAACGTTGGCACGGACGTTGGACGTCTTTCGTTCTGAGTGTCCGCGTCTCAGCTCCATATAGAAAGATTGGTAAAACCAAGGGTCTCATTAGAACCGTAGTTTTTGGTTATCCTGCGGTCTCTCCAAATCTTTGTCATTTTCTGCACTGATGATCTAGTCATGGCGCAACGTCTTCGAAATTCATCCTCGCAGCCCCCCTCGTTGGTGAAACAGATACCCGTAGATAGACTTTGCTTAACATACTGGCAACTCTTCCTATACGGTTATAGTGCGACATCTGAGAGCAAATATTTACTAATATAAGGGAGGTACGATTTGCACCCCAAATCGTACCGACCGTGACCTGACCGTCTGCAGATACAGCTGAGACCAACGGCTTACCGTGCCTTCCGAAGCACGGAGGAACTCGAGATAGAAAATTTTAGAAAGCGAAAGTTCATGGCCGAATTCGCCAACTACCTGCGCCATCGAGCTCCTCATATTAAAATTCTTTTAACATCGTTCACTTACTCAATATTGGTTGTTTCTGTGTTACAGTGAAAAAGGAACGTTGAATATCCAAAGAAACTATCTGGAACTGTACACCATTTGCCCGGAAGACACTTGTGAGCATTACAAAAGCCGCAACCTTAACAGCAAATATTACAGTATCACCCATTTCGATGAACATAATGATATAAACCTAAAAGAGCAAGAAACCAATGACTATGTTGAATTATACGAAGATTTAGAGTTTGAAAATATTCTAGCTACAAAATATAAGCAACACACATTTGACACGGCTAACGAACAAGCGATTCCAGAGGCTGTTCTTGATGTCCAAGATACAGACTGTAGGTATAATTTTGATGATGAAAAATCACATAGTGATGAAGCATCGAACGTTGATAATGTATACAATGAAGAAGAGTTAGATGGTGATATCAATGATTATGATAATTTTAAGGATCAATACACTGATGTTGGTTATAATGATAATGATATTGCAATAATTAACAAAGAAAAGACACCGGACGACGATAAAGTAGCGAATGAGGTGAAACAGAAGAAGAAGAAAGTGAAAAAGAAGGGCAATAAGATTAATAAAAAGTTCGAGAAGATAGTTTTGAGTGTGGAAGAACAGAAGGCTGAATTGGAGAGGAACAGAAGAATTGAGAAGTATATAGCAGCTGAGTTTAAATGTTCGAATTGTGCGATGGGATTCCTGTTTAAAGACACCTATCAAGCTCATATGATGAGGCATGAGGAAGTAAGTTTATCGTATTTGGTAAATTCTCAGTCTTTCAATGTCAAAGGACATTGGGGAAAAATGTATGGACGCTGCACCCACGTCCGCCACGGCTTAAACTACATTTGTTTGATAGGTATTATAATCATGATCAAATTCCACCCCTTCTTTAGTTTTTTTTAAGTTAAATAGGTACAAGTACTATGATGAACGAACATTAATGAAACAAGGGAATTAATTAAGTTCGACACTACATAGGTATTATGGGAGTACTTCACAAGGTTTAAGGGTTTGACAAAACCGATAATTGTGTTCCAATGTCCAAAGCGTGTTAGATAAAAATCAATCAAGTGACAGGGCGCACAGTCACAACGAAGTAAGATGAGTCGACTATTTGCAACTGCAAGTCCTTCAACCCCTGTTAACCGCTTTGAGGTGGCTCAGTAAGTGAAAGCGCTTGATGGATCGGCAGGCTTTGTCGTATATCTGGTTGTTTAATACGATATAGCATATTATTATGGTTACTAATAATATAAAATAAAGGTACCATAAAATGAATTTATTTAGCTACTTAAATATGCCCATGTGTTGTGTCATATCTTTTGAGTAGGTACCAGGATATTTTTTACGGTGTCATATCTTTTGACTCCCAGGATATTTTTTTACGGTATCATAATAAAAAAGGCTAGTTTTTCATAGATCTATCGATTCATACTAATTACATTGTTGGCGGAGCTGGGTGTGTTTTGCCCATTGTCCTTTATTTAAAATATTTTATTTTTCTAGTCAAACGGTGAACATCGTTGTAACATATGCACCCTTCGTTTCGCGAATCCTGCAGTATTGAGATCTCATGTAGGACTTCATTCGGAGAGATACAGGTGTCTCAAATGCGACTTTACGGTTAGAAAGAGACAGAGGGTGTCGCACGCGACCGATTGTTATGAGTTAAAAGTGGATTCTGTGGCTTGTCATCTGTGCGGGAGAGTTTTCAAGTATGTATCCCTTAAGTTGATAAAATTATATAATAATAAATGAGTATTCATAAGTATGATATTGAATTTAATGCATATTTCATTGTCATTAACATTTCTTTAAGAATGTCGGTCGTAACATTATATCAAATTATTATAATTAAATAGTGAATAGTTAAGATTTGAACAGATAGGGAGTATTTACTATTTTATTGCATTTAAAATTCATCTGCTGAAATAATATATCTTGTTTCCTTGTATTGGTGTATATTTTATTGGTCATTCGCTAAACAAATCAATGTATGTGAGCTTGAAAGTCGGCAAAATCAAAACTTTTTTCCCCTTTTCCATAAGTTCTAAACGTTCCTACATCAATAAATAGGTCTGTAGGTTGTTATGGGTGATCAATCCACACCATTGCCGTAATTCATAGAATGTCAATAATATTATTTCATCACTATTAAGAGGTAGTCAATTAACACAGTGCCTATAAGGCAATCCATTTTTCGATACTTGAAAATAACACTCGTCACTTTCGATTGGTGTTAATAATTATTTCGTCACTATTAAGAGGGATCTCAATAAACACAAGTGCCATTAAAGCAATACATTCTCAATAAACACAAGTGCCCTTAAGGCAATACATTTTAAAATTCGATAATTAAAAATAACAATCCTCACTATCGATTGGTGTTAATTGATATTCTAAGCATCTCTAAGAATTTCGAGATAACAGCGGACCACTTCCAATAATATAAACATTCCCAGGAACGAAGCCCTTTTCGGGAGTGACGTCACATAATCATGACCCTTAAATAGCAAATGCACAATGATCCTACAACTCATTTCGCCTCCCGCATCGAGCGAAGGTTCACTTGCTCTATCGTAGACTATTTAGTTTAATTTAATTTAGTTTAAATTGATAAGTTAAATATTGTAATGTTTTGCAAGTAAACTTTACAACAAAGGACATGGCCAAGAAACTGCCCTTAACGTGTATAAATATTTCGCACTAGCCAGTAACTTTACAATATTTTTTTATTAATTATTACGTATTTATTATTCTCATACAACTTTCGTGAAATAATCAAATATTTAAAAGTATAGAAATTGACTTCATGTCTGTTTAAAAAGCAAAATGTTCCGTTATACAAAATAAATGAACAATAAATCTACACAAAAATATTTGTGTAAGTATATCGAAATAAACAATATTATTTCTAAACTCCTTTAAACTACGACATATTTGGCCCTAATTTTTATCAAAAAAAAAAACACTGAAGGCCTAAAATACATTTTATTTTTCTGATAAGGCTTGAGCTTGTCTCAAGCTGTATGATAATTAATCCTTTAATTTTTGCAAATGAACAAAATAAAACTTCACAGATTTCCTGTCAGGCCGACGATAACAAAATACTTGTGTTTATATTTGCTTTAAAAACAATTTTTGTGGAGAGTTAATCAGAGAAATAGGAAGAAAGATTCTAAGAAAATGCGAAATTGATGACTCTGTAAATAATTTACAACATCTTTTATCAACTGTTGTAAGGTAATGACATAGTAGGAGTTATCATATTTTTCAAGATTGTGACTTTATCAAAAGTTCCTGAGCCTTTTTTCATAGAAATTATAAATATACATACAGCCATTTACCATTAAATATTACTAAGTACAGTATTTATACATTACCAGGGCAGTCGCTCATACAAAACTTTACCATGTCCTTTATATTTTTTAATAAGCTCCATTACCGAAACCTGACTAGGTTTTGTCTAAACCACTTTCAGGGACTCGAACGGTGTCCATCAACATCTAAAGCGCTTTCATCGCTCGCAGCCGGTTAAAAGCTATTCTTGCAGCGTATGCTTACAGCGGTTCAACAATCCAGCCGCTGTTAGGACACATATGATGTGAGTTAGTTTTTTTTCCTCTCTCTCTATTTATTTTGGCAGCAAATAATCGTTTACAGGTATCTCTTATCTATTAGACAAGTCCGTCCGTCCGTCTGTCTGTGGTGCTGTTTCAGCGGCCAAACCGTAAGAGATAGATAAAGAGAATGTTTAAGTTATAAGTTAAGAATAGTCTGATAAGACTACAAACCGGATTTGAGTAACGTAGCACTTCCGGTTTTCGAGAAATCACGAATTTCAAACGAAACCACACAAAATCTCCGAAGTTCTCAATTAATTAAATACATTTTTTTTTTTAATCAGGTTTTGGTGAACATTTGGTTCACTGGTTTGCTAGTATTACATAATTATTTATTTGTCAATTTGATTTATGTAATTTCCTATTTTGTTTTTTTATTCATGCTTTTAGACCTCCGTGGCCGAGTGGTTTGTACGCCGGGTTTCATAGTGTCGCCGACTCGAGAGGTCCCGGGTTCAAATCCCGGTGGGGGCTGATGTTTGTGTGATGAATACGAGCATTTGTACTCCAGTCATGGATGTTTAATATATATTTCTATGTAAATATGCTTATTTAAGTACAGTTCATGTATTCTATCCGTTACCCTAGTATCCCATAACGCAAGCCTTACAGTGCTTACTTTGGGGCTAGGCTAATTGGTGTGAGTGTTGGAAATATTTATTTATTGATGTGTAACATCTCTCCTCTCGCTTTCCTACAATTTGTGGGAGTGATTTCGTGAAATGGGATTGGGGAAATTCGGAAGGGTGCAAAAGGAAGTCGAAGTTGATTTGATTTTAAAACATAATGTTCAAATAGCTTATTCCTTTTGTAGTAGGTTTTAATTAATTTTTTTACTGATATCATATCAATCAATCATTCAATACATACGCGACTACTGTAAGGCTCGCTCGATTTTTTTAAATTTATATTTATGGTTTGTCCGCGGAACTATTTGGTTGCCCACACAGTACCCACATCCAGCGCGCGTCGCCATGTCTTCAATGCAATGCTTTGAAAGACACGCCATCTATGTTTTGACCGCGGAACTACTTGGTTACCCATACAGTACCCACATCCAGCGCCCGTCGCATTGTCTTCAATCTAACGCTTTGAAAGACACGCCATCTATGTTTTGACCGCGGAACTACTTGGTTGCCCATACAGTACCCACATCCAGCGCGCGTCGCCCTGTCTTCAATGCAATGCTTTGAAAGACACGCCATCTATGTTTTGACCGCGGAACTACTTGGTTGCCTATACAGTACCCACATCCAGCGCGCGTCGCCCTGTCTTCAATGTAACGCTTTGAAAGACACGCCATCTATGTTTTGACCGCGGAACTACTTGGTTGCCCATACAGTACCCACATGCAGCGCGCGTCGCCCTGTCTTCAATGTAATAATAATAAGATTTATTGACCAAAAAAATCAGTACAGTAAGATTACGTAACAAACTTAGCACTAGTTACAGAAAGTATAATTTATTAGCCTCTGCTGCTGAACTAGGCAATGCCTGTATTTCAGCATTCAGCGCCATAAACCCCCACAGACATGAGAATACTAAACTAGACTAAATAAATATCTCATAAATGAAAAGATCAGTAGGTCATTTTAAAAGCAAGGCATCTATGAGTATAATATTTGAATTAATATGTAATGCTTTGAAAGACACGCCATCTATGTTTTGACCGCGGAACTACTTGGTTGCCTACACAGTACCCACATCCAGCGCGCGTCGCCCTGTCTTCAATGTAACGCTTTGAAAGACACGCCATCTATGTTTTGACCGCGGAACTACTTGGTTGCCCATACAGTACCCACATCCAGCGCGCGTCGCCCTGTCTTCAATGTAACGCTTTGAAAGACACGCCATCTATGTTTTGACCGCGGAACTACTTGGTTGCCCATACAGTACCCACATCCAGCGCGCGTCGCCCTGTCTTCAATGTAATGCGGTATACAGCAGTCCGCACACTCTCACGCGACACGTACGTCTGAAACACGGGGCACACCCGCAGGCGGTGCTGGCGTGCGACCTGTGCGGGAACGTGTACAGCGGCAGGAAGAGCTTGTTGGCTCACGTGAGGAATGTGCATTTGAAAAGCAGGTTAGTTGGCGGCTTTTTTTAATCCTACCAATGATATAAATATCAAGTTTGCATTTCTTATCTATTAGACAAGTCCGTCCGTCCGTCCGTCCGTCCGTGGTGCTGTTTCAGCGGCCAAACCGTAAGAGATAGATATAGAGAATGTTTAAGTTATAAGTTACGAATAGTCTGATAAGACTACATACCGGATTTGAGTAACGTAGCACTTCCGGTTTTCGAGAAATCACGTGATTTCTATTTCAAACGAAACCACACAAAATCTCCGAAGTTCTCAATTAATTAAATACATTTTTTTTTTGGTGAACATTTGGTTCACTGGTTTGCTAGTGTTTATAATAATAATAATCTTTATTTGCAATTAAATAGTTTGTACATATACAATGTGAAACGTTAATAACTACATTAGTCAGAGACTGTGACGCAGTTATTAGCGCCCCACCTCGAACATGATAACTAGTAACAATAAACACTATAAATTTATACCAACATTAACATCTATAAAAGCGTCGTTGTGTGCTTGTGTGTATGTTTGTGATTGTGTGTGCGTGTGTGTATGTGTGTGTATCTCTCTGTGTATTTTGTAGGGTTAAATCATTTTTTATTTAACTACTTTATTGTATAAGAGATTTGACATCTTCATATCGAAGACTAAGTAGCCACTCATTTAAAACATTTTTACATTCACGATGTGGTAAACTGTAAATAATAAATATTATGTCATTTATAATTAATTTAATTGTGCAAAACTGAGCTAAGGTACAAAAAAATGGGTGCGTGTACTTATGTAGGCGCGTGAGAAGTTATCCTTCTTTGGCATCGTTTAAAATTAGTTTTTAATTGCATGCAAATAATTAATTACAATAAATTAATAAAAAGTCTGGAAAAGGACACAGTCAATAAAGTTCAGTTTTAATTTGAAAAAATAAATAAATAATCAAAATATTCAATTAAAATCGCTACTGAATATAATTTATTAGAACATATGTGATTTGCACTTGTATGAAACTCAAACACGTATTCCGAATATACAAACTAGAAACATGTGGATAAATATTATAAATATGAATACCTATAACTGTTACTTTATTACAAAAAATAAAGATGTGGTTTTTGGTTCTACTACACCAATGGTCAAGAGATGGCGCTGTAGTCTCCTGAATCGCGCTTTGGTTCCGTTGTTCCAGATTAATAAATACTTTTGATAGGCCTTCACAATGCAGTCGTTAGCACCCACTAAATAGAGATTCTATTTCTATTTTGTTGGTAGATTTTCTTAATGTGCGGTAAACACAAAGGTAACAGCATGAAGTTGCCGCAGAGCTCCATGAAAAAATGCGAAAAAAATACTTACAATACGTAAGTGTCGTTTTATCAACAGGTGTCTAATCAATGAGGGCTACCGCGTCTGAAACCGCCGCTAGAGGCGCTTGTGTTGCGTGAGGTCTCCGAAATGTCAAATGTTATAGCTTGCGGGTTGACTACGCGGTTTTTTTCTAAATAAAATAATAGTTGTGAATATTTGGTAATAAATCAGACTTATTATGGCAAATATGAGTTACGTGTCAATGATTGTCAGTTATTTAAAAGCGGAGCTAAGAAAATATATTGTCCTTCTTTTTTCCGAACAAAACGGGACTGCGCAACACTGTGGCATGGGCGATTATGTTTAAGATACGATTCTTTTGTATTAAAATGTAAACTTTGATATCACGAGCGTGTTTACTAACTTTAAAAGTTACACTTCAGGACCTCACTCAACAGTGGCGCCATCTGGTGAGACAAAAAACGATAGCCCTCATTTTGTTAATTTAGCGCATTTGAAGCAAATTTTGTTCTAAAACTTACTATAAAGTGATTTAATAGAACATATTTGTGATATTCAAAGGCATCATGCCTTGCCGGTTATATAGCCATCTCTTTTCCTCGCGGTCCGTACCTGCTATATTGCTAACAGCGCATTCAGAATTGCGCGTAGAGTCAAAGAAATAAGGTCTATATCCTTCTGCATATAGCAATAAGTCGCAAAGTTTTACGAGCTTGCATTTCAAACTGTCATTACTCTTTGACGCAAGCGTTTTAATTAAGACCTTATACATATGCATTAGTGATGTAACGAATGTAATTTTTTGAACATTCGCGAATCGAATACGGATGCGAATGTATGTACATATACATATTTCATTTACTAGCTATAAAGAGAAAGAGAGAAAGAAAATGTGCGCGCGCACTGCTCTCTCTTGCTTATATCCCCCACTCAACTCCCGTTCGCCTCGCCCGATCACACTCTACTTGCCAAGTCAAGCGTTTTACTTGAAAACATTCAAATTATAATGACACTTTAACGGCGGTCAAACTGTACTTATTGCTCCCATCTTATTTATATATTAAAGATCGTTCAACTTAAAATGAGACATTAACGCCATCGGCCAAAATGTACTTATTGGGCCCATATTATATATTTAAGAGCATTCAACTTAAAATGAATTATAACTTCAGCCACACTGTACTTGTTGGGCCTTTGAGTTGACAAGGTTAGTTAAATGTTTCAACCATACTCTCTCTCTGTCTTGCTTATATCTTCCACTCAACTCCCGTTCGCCTCGCCCGATCACAGTTTTCGTAACGCATAACGCGTTCGCCAGCTTACTCCCCAAGTCAAGCGTGCAAAAAGAAGTTTCACTTCAAAAAAATCTCTCAATCTTCGTCCAATGGGATCGCACAGGAACCTGTGACCGACATTCGCGAATGCGAATGTTTAGTTTTTTTTTTAAATTGGCGCCAATTGTCTATGGCATGGTGGCAGTCTCGTTCGAGTTGCCGAGTTGATATGAACTCATCCGACTGCAGTGTCATTCCGCTCGCACCGGTCTTTCCGTAAACAAAACAAGTGAATATTGAGGTTAGTGATTGTGAGTGGTAATAGTGATTTATTAACATGAGTAAATCGAATTCTAGTGAAACATGGACTTATTTCAGTCTTTGCGATGCTGAACGAGCTAAATGCAAACTGTGTAACAACGAATATTCAAGGGAAGGCAGAACCACAACTGCTTCAGATTGTTTTTTTCTAATATTCATATTCGCAAAACATTCGCAGAGATTTTGCGAATGCGAATATTCAAAAATATGCGAATATTCGCGAATGAAATGAAATGAAATGTCATTTATTCAGTCTAGGCTGTTACAAGCACTTGTGAAGGTCAAGAAGCTACGCCATCGGTTCGCAAAAACTACGGCGGGAGACCTTGTACTGAGAAGAACCGGCAAGAAACTCAGCAAGGGCTGTTTTTTTCTCCCTGTATTGTTATATACAGTGTCGTCAAGTTGAAAAATTACTTCAGGAATACGTCTGAAGTCACTTTCCATTACATAGAATATAAATATATAGTTACAATTAATTTTATAGTTAACATTTTAAGTAGTATATAGGAAGCGGCATTAGATAGGTACAATATTACTGTTATGAAAAATGACTAATACCCATTTAATATCAAATTATAAGAAACACTATGTCCATGCATTACGATCATTTAGATAATCATCAACCTTATAATAGCCCTTATTCATAAGAGTATTTTTGATCTGAGATTTAAATTTAGTCAGTGGAAGCTCAATCAGATCTTGGGGAACTTTGTTAAACAATGCAATAGTACAACCCAGAAATGAACCTCTTGATTTTTGGAGTCTGAAACATGGAACGGCAAGCTTGTTCTTAAATCTCGTGTTAAAGTTATGGGTTTGACTTTTTTTTGCAAATTCATCATAGTTTTTTCTTACATATATTAAATTTTCATAAATGTATTGCGACGCCAGTGTTAAAATATTAATTTCTTTAAATTTTTCTCTAAGGGATTCTCTTGCCTTTAGATTGTATATGGCGCGAACAGCTCTCTTTTGCAGTATGAAAATACTTTCGATATTAGCGGCTGAGCCCCACAACAAAAGGCCATATGACATAACACTATGAAAGTAACCAAAGTAAACTAATCTTGCCGTTTCCACATCAGTTAAGAGTCTTATTTTTTTAACAGCGAAAGCTGCAGAGCTCAATCTACTTGACAAGGCATCAATATGAGGATTTTATACTAGTATTAACCTGCCTCACATTAGGTAGAGTAAACTTAATGCATTTTGTTTTACTGGAGTTAAGTTTTAAATTATTTACCGTGAACCAGTGAAGGACTTCAGAGAGAGCACAATTTACTTCGTCATAACAATCATTTCCTCTTCTAGCTTTAAACAATAAAGAGGTGTCATCAGCAAATAGTACTGTCTCACACAAATCTCTTGTAAAGTGAGGAAGGTCATTGATATAAATAAGGAAAAGCAATGGGCCCAATATTGAACCCTGGGGCACGCCCATAGAAATGGGTGCTCCTGTAGACTCAGCTTCATTTATAACTACTTTCTGAATCCTAGCAGAAAGATAAGACTGTATCAGACTAAGTGAAATATTTGATACACCATAATGCTTCATTTTATTTAACAATGTTTCATGGCTAACGCAGTCAAACGCCCTTGATAAGTCGCAAAAAATTCCAATAGCATCGTGCTTACTCTCCCATATATCAAAGATGTGTTTGAGAAGTGCCAGCATCAGTAGTACTTTTGCCTCTAGTGAAACCAAACTGTTTTAAATGAAATAGCTTATTTATAGAAAAGTGTGCTAGTAATTGGTTATAAATTATTTTCTCAAATACTTTACTTAGCGCTGGTAATACAGATATAGGCCTAAAATTGCTGGGATCTGATTTGTCACCAGCCTTAAAGAGAGGGATAACTTTAGCACATTTCATTAGATCTGGAAACACTCCCTCATCAATACATTTGTTAAATATAATGGCCAGTTGTGGCGCAATAACAGTGATAATCGGTTTTATTATATATGTTGATATTCCCCAATAATCCTCTGTATTTTTAATTTTAATTGAGTTAAAAGTTTTTATAATACAGTCACTACTGATATGTCTAAAATGAAAATCATTACTGCACTTATCAAC